ATTTATATTATGGAGGTCCAAAGTTGGGTGTCAACAACACCTATTTTAGAACGAAAAATTGACATGTGATGGCTCTATAACTCTAGTTTACCAGTGAGCTTCTTCCTTTTCTTCTCATTTGGCAAAGAACAGTTCTTAAAATAACTTGATCACAAAAATAACAAAAGGTTAATGCCTTAAACACTATAAAAAATATTTTGATATGATGAGATATTTTACGCCTCTATTTTCTACTTGTGCATTTCTTAATCAGGTCCTCATAATTATTATCATCTTGTTCATCCAATTGATTTTCATTGTAATCGTATTTGCAGTTTGATTCGTCATCCATAAGCAGATGAATTATTTCATTTTATGATATTGTCTTTAAATCTATATATAGTTGGTGGATTAAACTGACTCTTCAATATGCTACTTGACTGACATATACAAATGGTAAAATGTTTGTAAGATGTAATTAACATATCAAAATAGGACATCCCTATATGGAATTTCTAAATGTTTAGGACTCGGAATAGACATTTTAATCAAGATCGAGTAGAAGAATCTTAATTATCTTACAACAACCTTTGATAATAACATTAGCGAGATTAACTGAAAAATGGGGCAGATTCAAACCTCCATAGTCGCTTGACACACATAAAACTTCTAAATAAATTTTAAAAAAATTATTTGTAATATTACCTAACTGAGCTTGTCTAGATGAAGAAGAAACAAACACAGGATCATTTTCGGTCACCAAAGAGTTCTGATTAGTGAATTCAATAAATAAAATTGGTTAAAGACAAGGAGATTTTAGCAAGATTAACTGATCGATCAATTAGAAATCAAGTGGAACTCTTTCTTGTTTCTTTTCTAGACTAGAAACTAAAAAAAAGTAACACAAATTCCTAACAAGCATTCATTAGATTTGCGAACATATAAATGGAACATAGAACACTTGAAAAAATTAAAGGATAAGAAAAATCTAGAATTTTGACCTGGCCAAGCAGGAATCCATATAAGGAAGGATCATTTTCGATCATTCGAAGAATTCTTATTAGTAGAATTCATAATTTTTTCCATTGGTTATCCAAAAACCTAAATCAGTTCAACATGTTAGTATAAGTTATGATTTCTCAATGCGTTTACTTTGATTTTGCAAGGGAATAGAAGTTTGAATCAACAAAATAGTAAAAGCTAGAGAAGGACTCGTTAGCTAGTTCTAAATTAAATGATTTAGCCAATTAATTACATTAAAAATAATAAGCTTGACTCACAACAAACTACATTAATTGCCCTAAACAATGATTTTAAAAAAGGTGAATATGTATTAATTGATAGTAGAAAACTGATCACTCAAGTGTGAATGCATTTATTATAATAGTAAAAAAAAATTCTAACTGCCTCAAATATTGTGACAGACAAGAACAAGAATTTATACCAAGTGTAGAGATCAAGGCACAAGTACCCCTAGACTATGACCGAAATTTCAAAGACACTCTTAAACTTAATTTGGGTCTTATTACCCCCCTCCCCCCCCCCCCCCCAACTCATTTTTTCATATTTTTGTGCACCTTTTGAGCTGGCGTGACACCTTCAACTACCCATTTTGGTTGTGTTTATACACACTCGTCTGCCACATGTGTATAAATTAAGTTAATACACTTTTTTTTTTACCATCTATCAAAACTTTTTTTTACCTACATTCATTGTTTTTTCTCTTTTATTTTTCTATTGATTTTATTTTTTTTTGTCTTTCGTTTTGATATAATTTCAAATTTAATTCCAATTGTCTTGTATTTAAAATAAGTTAATTTTGAACGGACATCAAAATAAGTGAAGAAAATCAAATGAAACATAAAAAAAAAAAAACGTTATAATTAAAGGACACTTTTAATTATTTTTTTAAAAAAATACACATAATTTTTTAAAAATAATTAAAAGTGAAAAGATAATAAGTTAATTAAAAAAGCTTAAAGTGAGAGAGAAATTAAAATAAATATTTTACAAAGAAAGAAATTAAAATAATTAAACATATATAAGTTTTAATATCAATAAATATGTGTAATAACTAATTATAAAGTTACCAATAAAAAAATGGCATGTGTCCAATTTGCGCATTCATCATTTGTCTATGTCACCGTTTGGGGTGTATTAGTTCCATTTTAAGTTAGTTTAGGGAGGTAATAGGACTCTAGTTAAGTTTAGGTGTGTCTCTGAGATTTCGGTCACAGTCTAGGGGTAGTTATGCCTTATCCCATTATTGTTCGAAATTCAATTTTCAATAAATGTAGATAATAAAAATTATCACCTCCATTTCAAAATAAGTTGTTTTTATCTTTTTTATTTTTTTTAAGATATGTAGTTTTTTCAAAAATTAATAAGAAATTGAAAATTTTGTTCCAGATTTATCCTTTTTAAAATAAATGAATGTTACATAAAAAACAAACCATTAAAGAGATACTTCTTTTTAAGACATTTGATTAAAAATTAGTAATGAAGAACATATTTTGCTTTCTTAGGATGTGTTTGGTACGAAGGAAAATGTTTTCCATAAAAATGTTTTCCTAGAAAATGTTTTCCATAAAAATGTTTTCCTAGAAAATGTTTTCTTCAAAAACAAGTGGATTTCTAATTTATTTTCTCTTGTTTGGTTAGTGAGTAGAAAATATTTTGTAATGTTTGGTTGGTGAATGAAAAATATTTTTCAGAAAATATCTTTTATTTTTGGCTTGAAACTAAAAACTACTCTTTAGAAAACTAATTTTTTATACGAAAATCAACCCCGATAATTGATATAGGACCCGACCTCGACACCCAAATTAGGACAACACCCCACTAACTATTCCAAAATCCGACCCTAAGATTTGACCCAGGAATTTAAAAAAAAACAATTTTTTTACGGGGTAATGGGGGTGGGGGTGGCTGTTGGGAGTAGGAGTGTGGGTTGCATTAAAAATGATTTTTAAAAAAATTTGAAATATTTTTTCAAAAACAATTTTTTAAAGTTTTTTTTAATGAGGGTGGCGTGGGTGGGGGTGGCACGGCCAGGGAGTAGGGGTATGGTTGGCATAAAAAATGAAAAAAAAATTGAAATATTTCCCAAAATATTAAATAATTTTTTGACGGGAATGGCCTAGGTGGGGGGTACGGGTATGGGTGTCGTAAAAAATAATCTTTTTTAAATTTAAAATATTTTTTTTGATAGGAATGACTGGGTGGGGGTGGCTTGGTAGGTGTAACACCTCGGCCTTAGAAAGAGCTAAATTTCGAAAGAACTAATTTGGAAAAGGCTAATTTGAGATATGTTCAAGTTAAGCTTAAGTTGTGAGTTTTTGGTCAACTTCAAACAACCGTAACTTTCAGTACATGATGAGTTAGGTGGATCATAAGATATCAAATGAAAGGTCTTTGAAACCTCTTTCCAACGCCACCATGTTTTCTAAAATTCATGTTCTGGTGAGGGAGATATGCCTGTTTGAATTCAGCCTGTCCAGTTAAGGAATTTTACCCGAATTAACGAGGGGTATTTTGGTATTTTCCTTACCCCATCAGCTTTAAACGTTTTTAGTAATATTTTAGGGGTCAAAACTGATTTGGGTCAGTTTTCACAATTCTAAATTATGCTTAGGGTTTTGAGAGGAGTTCAAGAGGAGGAAACAGGGAGGAGTTCAAGCGTTTGTCAAGATTTCTTGCGAATCAAGGATATTGTTTCGCCAAATTAAGGTATGTAAGTTTTCATAGTGTCGGGTTCGTTCACCCACACACCAATCATGAGTTTCTTTTACGAATTTCATCCATAAGATTGGGTATATTGAATTTCTTGATGAGTTCTTGAAAGTTTGTGTTGCATTCCTTGATATGAGGTTTCATTGAGTTCTTGAGATGTGGATCTTGTGTTTGAATATTTTTCTTGAGTAATTTTGAGTGGATTTCATTGTAATTATGTTGGGTATAAGAATCTAAAAGAGTTTGAGGGAAATCGTTCGATTCTATGGGAGTTAAACATGAATTTGAAGCAAGAAAATTTGCCAAAACCTGGTTATATGGGTGGGGTGATGCACCACTCAATGCGCCCCAAACTACTTTCAGTAGGTTGAGGCCTGGCACACCACGTCACTCAGTGCACCCCAACCCACCTTCAATAGTTTAGGGGCTGGCGCGCATCACTCAGTGTGCCAGGGTCGCCTAGTCCCCTACCCTTCCATCCTTTTTTTCGTGTGCGTTCCCTCGAATCATACCTATGTTTTCTACTTGATATCCACACTTAAAATCTTTATTAAATCTTGAGAGATCATGCATATCCAAGTCATAACTCTTGAATTCATAATTCAAATTCAAGATAGAGTTAAGGGTAAAGTCGAGGAAGTTCTTTGAGTCAATTGAGAAGTCTTTTTGCAAAACTTTTAAAACTTGTTTTAAGACTTGAGTATGAGGATGAGTAGAGTGGAGTATCTACAATAGGTCTAATTAGGTCATTATCTTGGCTATGTTTTCATCTTGTTCTTGGTTCATTTCCATTTGTTCATTTGTCAGCCCAAGATTTAAATGAGACACCTGATCTTCCCTTGTGTACCATGCATGATTAATTTTCGTCATCTCATCAAGAAGGGATGACGCTATGTCAAACGGTTGTCTCATGACTCCACCTCGAATAAGTTGTTCAGTGACACCTTTGTTGATCGTGTCGAGACTCCGATAAAAATATTACAATAACACATTATTCGGGAACCCATAAGTAGGACACTGAAGAAGCATCTTTTGGAACCTCAACCATGTTTCATGACCAGGCTCACCATCAATCCACTTGAAGTTCTGAATATTATCGGTCAACTTAACCATTTTAAGAGAGTGAAAAATCTCTCATAAAACACTTCCGTGAGTTCCTCACAAGAAGTGATAGATTCCTTTGGCAACTCGTTCAACCACTTTGTTGTTTCCCCTATTTGAGAAAAGAGAAACAAATGAAGTCGAACCGACTTTTGAGTGATGTTCTTGAATGAAAACGGTCCACACACATCCCCAAAGTTGCGGATGTGGTCATGAGGGTCCTCATGAGCAAGTCCCCCAAAGAGACCCCTCATTTGCAATAGTTGCAACATCATGTTGATCATATGAAACACCGTATTGACCACAGTTGGAGACAACTGAATAGCACCCGAACTTCCCAGTTGATCCTCATTGACATCATGCAAGTTTCTGATGTCATCATTGTTCCCAAGTTGACTTGCATTGCTCCCATTCACACTTATTTCTTCACCTGTTTTAGAGCAACCAACAAGAAACACGAACAATAAAATTCCACCACAACAAAATTAGTTTACGCAAATACTTCAATAAAACAATTCTAAACACCACTCCCTGACAGCAGTGCCATTTTTTATAACGCTCAACTACACTTCATCCAATTCTAAGTGTATGCGGTAGCTAACAAGTATAAACCCAACTAAGAGTTGGGGTCGATCCCACAGGGAGTGATATGGTAAAGAATTCAATTAGGAAGTAAATGTGTGTTCTAATTTTTTGTAGGAGTAAAGGTTTCGCAACATAAAATTAAATCATGAAATTTCAATGATTAAAATCAAATAGGGGGCATTTAGTAACAAATTTACCACAGCGAACAACTAATATGGGAATTAAACAAATGGAGATTGGACCTTAGGAATGTGATCAATCGAATGCTAATTTCGAATAATGGGTAGTTACTAATTGCTTAAAGTTATTGACTCTCAATGGGTAGGCTAGGTTTTAAATACAATATCCATCTCTCGATCAACTATCATGCTTCAAGTGAGTTCTCTAGAACCTCAACAAGCTTGACACTACTAAACAACCCAATACTTAATTAGCCCACTTTCTCCAGCTGGGTTTGTAAAGACGCAATCAAACCCACTTTCTCAAGATAGATCTTAAAGACTCAATCAATACGACTATCAATCAATTATTCTACTCTAATACCTCTTTCTCAAGCAAGTAAAGATAGTTAAGCTAGAACGGAATTTGCAATTATAATTCATCAATCAAAACATGAACAAATGATTGAACCCACTTCAAATCAACATTAAAATCAGCAATTAATAACACCCATTAGCTAGTTAATGCATTAGACTACATGATCACACCTTTATGTTAAGGGGTTTTAGCCCAACATAGCGGAAAGTAAGAAATCGTTACCAACAAGATTTTCCATTTGAATTGTTAACGATCTGCAATACCCAATGCCAAGATTAAAGCTAGAATCCTAAAATCTCAATCTGAGGTTCAAATCTTATCCAAAAGTATTCAACAATGTAAAATGTGAAAAAGAACTATCTAACTTCAGGAATACACTCTAGGAGAACTGGAACTTCTTTTCGCATCGTAATGTCCTTGCATTTCCCTTAAGCCTCCATTGTTGCATATTAACACAATAACATCAGTTATGAGCACAAAATAGGCATTGAGGACACTAACTTTATAAGCCTTAAATGATTTGAAATTCTCGACTCATCAACAAGCATTCATTATATTCACAAACATATAAATGGAACATTGAAAACTCTTTTAAAAAATAAAAGGGTAAGAAAATCCTCGAATTTTAACCGGACCAAGCAGGAGTCCAGATGAGGAAGGATCATTTTCGATCATTCGAAGAATTCTTATGTCATGCCCCGAGCCTACACCCTAGACGTGGTCGGCACTTGAGAACGATTGTTGGCCCCAAGTGAACCCTTGGCCTAGCTCAACCCTCAGCGGAAAACTTACTCAACATAAGATAAACTCAAATATAAAGCTTTAACTCAAATGTCTCAAATTATTAATTCAGAATATAATAGAATATTCAACTAGCAGTAATAGGAAACTCAAGTCTTTAAAACATTTAACAAAATAAAATGAAACAGACTTCTCAAACTCTACTATTTATCTATATATGAAGCCTCTAAATGACAAAGATGGAAGTCGGGACAAGACCCACGACATCCTAACAAAGCTGAAAAGTAAATGGAATCCTCCTGAAGCAAGGAGGCTCACCAAAGCTAACTCGAATTGTTGTGGTATCAACGAAGCGCTTGTTGATGACCTTGGTTACTTGTATTTGCATCATGAAACGATGCAGGCAAAATGGCATCAGTACATTGAATGTACGAGCATGTAAGGGGAACTCTGAACGTAACATAAAAGCTTGAACTTAGAAAGAATGAAACATACTCACCTCGACTCTACTCAACTCAACCTCAACTTATGGATACTCAACTCAGTACAATATAAAAACAACAATAAAGATGCAGTTTATATAAAGCATTTAAAACAATAGATAACAACTCATTGCATTTAAAAATATAATAATAACTCTTATGTAAAGATACAAAATACTCAATTTGGGAGATTCTCTAACTGACAACCATCACTACTAGCTATGTGATGATACAACGTCTCGCCCATGCTGCCAGAACTGTCCTATACCTTGCCGGAGTATAAGACAGCCTCAACTAAGTGGATCCACTAAATTATGCTTAAAAAGCAATAGGAATCATCTAAGAAGTATGACCCTTTCTACCCACGTTGGCATGCATAGTTTATGAGGACTTTGAGTTGTCTAAACTCGTCCCTATATCGGTGCTCAATACTACTCCCAATAATATAACTCATACTCATATGTTTAAAAACATTTCCTCATACTCAAACTCTGAGATTATTACTCAAAAGGATTCTCTTAAAAGAGACGGTGCTCAAAACTCCTCATAACTCATTTGGAAATCAAAGTTTCCTCTATTTTTAAATGTAAAACATTTACTCTTGAGAATACTTAGTTCCCATATATTCATTTCGAAAAATGAAACTCAACTATCCTTATACTCATACTCAAGTCTTAAAACAAGTTTAAAAAGTTTGTAAAAGACTTCTCAAAATGACTCAAAAGAACTCCCTTGAACTTTACTCTTAACTCTATCTTGAATTTGAAATGTGAATTCAAGAATTATGCTTTGGAATGTAGCACCTCTCACCGATTTATGAAGGTTATGATAGTTGAACAAAAGAACGAGCAAAGACCCAAATTGAAGAACACTGGCGCGCCGCAGAGATGGAATTAAATTTTTGGAATAATTTTTTGAGGCAGAGGACTCTGTACCCTCTTCGCGACGCGAACCTGGGCGCAATTATTTACCTGATCTTTTCTACACAAATTCTCATAACCCAGAACATTTTCAGTGAAAACCCACACCAGAACTACGCTCATTCGCAACTCTCACCTCAAAAACTCAACAAGAACTTAATTATCAAAGAACGAAACACAACCTCATGAATGAAATTACAAATAAAAATCACATGATTGGTGTGTGGGTGAACGAACCCAACACTATGTAAGCTTACATACCTCTTAGGGATCAAACCCTTGGCGAAATTCCTCGACAAATCTCAAGAATCTTGACGAACACCTTGAACCTCTCATCTTTTCTCCTCTTGAACTCCTCTCAAAACCCTAAGCGTATTTTAGGATTGGAAAACTGACCCAAATTAGTTTAGAACCCTAAAATATTATTAAAAACGTTTAAAACTGGTGCGGTAAGGAAAATACCAAAATACCCCTCATTAATTCGGGTAAATTTGCTTAACTGGACAGGCCGACTTCAAACGGGCATATCTCCCTTACCCGAACTCGGAATTTAACAAACTCGGTGGCGTTGGAAAGAGGATTCAACTAACTTTCATTTGATATCTTATGTGCCGACTAACTCATCATGTACTAAAAGTTATGATCGGTTGAAGTTGACTCACAACTTAAGCTTAACTTGAACAAATCTCAAATTAGCTATTTCCAAAATAATTTTTTCTACATTTAGCTCTTTGCTAAGGTGGGATGTTACACCTTATTAGCCGGATTCATATTTGTTTCTGTTGGTCATCACAAAATCTAAAACAGTTTAACATGTTAGTATAAGTGATGATTTCTTATCGCGTTTACTTTGGTTCTGCAGGGGAATAATAGTTTGAATCAACAAAATAGTAAAAGCTAGAGATGGACTCACTAGCTAGTTCTAAATTAATGGGTTTAGCCAATTAATTACATTAATAATAATCTTAACTCACAACAAACTACATTAATTTCCCTAAATAATGATTTTAAAAAGTGAATACGTATTAATTAATCGTAGAAAACTGATCACTCAAGTGTGAATGCAGTTATTATAATAATCAAAACTATTCGTTGCAAATTATTGTTCGACATTAAAGTTTTCTATAAATGCAGACAATAAAAATTATCACCTTCGTTTCAAAATAAGTTGTTTTAATCTTTTTACTTTGTTTTAAGATATGTAGTTTTTCACAAATCAATAAGAAATTGAAAATTTTCTTTCAGATTTATCCTTATTAAAATAAATGAATTTTACATAAACAACAAACCATTAAAGAGATACTTCATTTTAAGACATTTGATTAAAAGTTTGTAATGAAGAACATATTTTGCTTTCTTAGAGTAAGTAGTCCTCTTAAAGAGTCTACTCAAACTAAAAACATCGTGTATTGTTAAATAGAGGGAGTACTAGTATTATATACCTTTATTTGAGTACGCCTATTTTGGAACCAAAATTTGATCTGCGAAGGCTCTAACTCTAGTTTACTACTGAGCTCCTTCATTTTCTTCTCATCCGGCTGAGGACACTCCTTAAAATAACTTAATCACAAAAATAACAAAAGGTTAATACCATAAACACTAAAATAAAATGTATTTAGATATTATGAGATTTTTTATGCATCCATTTCCTCGATTGTTGCTTGGTGTGACGATGATTGTGCATTTTCTTATCCGGATGCTCATCATTATTATCATCTTATTGATTGTCATTGTAGTCGAAATTGCAGTTTTATTCGTCATCTGTAAGCAGATGCATTATTTTATTTTTATATATTATCTTTGAATCTATAGTTGGTGGATTAAACTGTTTCTTCAACATGCTATTCGACTGGCATATATAAATGGCAAAATGTTTGTAAGATATAATTTACATATCAAAATAAGACATCCCTGTATGGAATTTCAAGATTTTCAAGACTCAAAATTGAAATTTTAAACCGAGAGCAGAAGAATCTTAACCATCTTATAACAACCCTTGATAATAACATTAGCGAGATTAACTTAAAAATGGGCTAGATCCAAACCTCCGTAGATGCCGGAAACACATTGAAAACTTCTATAAAAAAATTATTTGTAATTTTAGCTAATCAAGTTGGAGTCCAGATGAAGAATGAATAAACCCTGGAACATTTTGATCATCATAGAATTCTGATTAGCGAATTCAAACTAAAACACTAGATAAAGGCTAGGAGAATTTAGCCATTATATAAGAATCATAGGTAGTAATAATATTATCAAGATTATTAATCAATTAGAAACCAAGTGAAATTTTTTCTCATTTCTTTTCTAGACAAGAAATTAGAAACAACACAAATTCCTTAAAAAAAAATCATTAGATTCAAGGAAATATTGAAGGAACTTAATGATAAAGTATAAGAAAAATTTAGGATTTCAACCTGACCAAGCAGGAGTTCAGATTAAGAAGGATCATTTTCGATCATTGAAGAATTCTTATGAGCTGAATTTATGATTTCATCCATTGATCAGCCAAAACCCTAAAATAGTACAACACGCTAGTATAAGAAAGTCAACTTTATACTTTTTTGGTGACTCGAACTCATAATCTTAAGGTTGGAACTGGAGGGTGCTTACTAGACGAACAACCTCCTCTTATCTATTTGTAATCATTTCTAGTTCAGCTATATAATTTTTTTAATCATTTCATTGGTTGTTCACACAAAGAGAATGTCAACAAACCAATTAAAAACTAAAAGTATTGTTGAATTATGACTTCCGCTAATCTCCTAAGAAACACATACAAGCGATGTACCGTTTAACGAATTGACAAAATGAAGTTAAGAATAATAGTAACTAAACAGTGCAATAATTTTAACTTCAGCTTCAATAAACAACTTTGAGTTACAACAGATTACACAACTCTGTAATCCTATGGAATTATAAACTCTAATTTTGTAACCCAAAACACAAGCCCCCAAGGCTTATGTTCCCAGACGATCTCCAAGTTTCCCCCAACTAGAAGATCACACTTCACTCAAATAATCACCTAAACTACTTCACTCAATTATTCCTCGCAGCACTCAGAATAAGTAATCAAAACTCTCTCAATTATTGATAGTGTTTTGCTTGTCTCTCTCATAAGTGTGCGCCTTTCCACGAAGAAAATCTCGCCCTATTTGTAGTTTTGAACTCCACTCCTCAAATCGTCTTCAACTTAAATTCGTTTCTTCTTTCGTTTAGAACTTGGCACCTTACAAGGTTATACCTACGCTTCCTACTTTGTTCAGAACTCCTACTTGATTGCGACTCTTTTTATACTCCTTTTCCTAGTCATATTTGGTGAACACATATCACATTGACACAACTTGTTCAATGCAGCTTTGTCAGTCTTCAAAATACTAATTTATGTGCATCTAACAAAGTCCCCTTTTTTTATGATGACAAACTTTATTAGTAGCTTCATCTGCATTGAACATATTTGCATTGAACCACGATCACTTCCCCCTTTTGACATCATTAAAACAAACCTGGAACTACACGATATATCACAAGATAAAACAATATACGTTCTTAAGTGAAAACTCACCATCACAAGAACCAAAACACTTAATTAACTATAACAATGTTCACAACAGAAAGTAGGCAGAATCAGAACCAAACATCAGCAAAACACCAACACAGTCATCAAGTCAGATAAGTACATCACTTGCTTAACAAAAAAACTAGAAGGAAAAACACATGAAATAGTGAGCAAAAGTATTAAGGTAGCTTGGAGGAAGGGCTAGGAGCTGGAAATGAGGTAGGATGTGTTTTAAGTAGCTCAAAGAGGCCCTTTAGATGTGTTGAATTCGAAGATTGTTCAGTCTCCAAAGTTGTTTTAGACTTGAGCAACTCACCTTTCAAATAGGCATTCTCCTCAATCAACCCAGCCTGTTCTACCCTATATGTCAAATGCAACTTATCCCTGGCAGCAGAATGTGACAATCGAAGAGTTGTTATGTGCTTCTCATTTGCTGTCAACTGAGATAGTAATCGTTGTAATGGTGCATTAGTACCTCTCTAAGGAGCAGGTACAACAACCTGATTCACAGTTCCAAGAAAACCCTTTGTAGTCTGAACTTGTCTGTCATGACCCAAGGGTACACCCTAGATGTAACATGGTGTACTTGACCCCGAATGAATCTCATACAAGCCCTTAGCATATCATAACATAAGATAATAGAAAAGTGCGGAAATTTTAAAATATTTTCCATACAATCAAAGTCTTTATAAAAGCACAGCGGAAGTCTTACTACACTTCTCTCAAACCATCTAATACAACTTTGAATTCTCTTGGGTCACAGCCAATAGAGTAGTCTCAAGACATGAAAATAAAAGACATAAAGGAAAGGTGATCAAATCCTCGATGCTATGAGGACTCACCAAGTCTTCAACTCTTTGCACTTGAAACCTATCTTCAAGAATGGAACTCAAAATCACCGGACCCTACATTTGATAAGAACTTAGGCAAGAGTATGTGTTAGTACAAAAGTACTAAATATGATAGCTAGCATAACATCATAAGAGAATAACATAAGAGTTAGTCAACATAAGCAATATGCCATAATCATAAGAGATACTTCATGAAACAAAAACTATAAGCATAAGAGATTGTATCATAACTATAATCAAAGTCTCCAACATAGGCATCATATAAGCATTAGTCAACCCTTAGTCCTTCATATCATAAGCGAACTACTTCTCAAGTAACCTCAAAGAATACTTGTGCAATGCACGGATGAGACCCCATAATCCCATCCACACTAAGTACCACTTTTAGGTCATCATAATCATACTTACCCTCTTAGGATCTCATCATTAGCACAATTCTCATAGACAAGGGAATCCTTACCTTTAGTCCATCATATTAAGGAAGGCAACTATGGCAACAATCCAAGCTAACATATATCACATAGGCAAATCTCATATTAGAACATGCATACAATACTTCCTTGAAGTAATCTAGTTTCACCATACACATGCTACTTAGATTAGGGACTTGTCCCTCATATTCATAATAGTCATGGAAAAGTACCTCTTTACTAGTCCAAGACAAGTCATTACTCATGAATGGTCATAATTCACCTATTCAAGGCTACCAAGTAAAAGTACTATTACTCAATCCAAGCTAAGCATGCAACACATAAGAGACATGTTTCATAAGTAGCTTCAAGTCATACTTGTGCAATGTATGAATAAGACCCCATAATCCTACCCATGCTAAGTACTACTTTAGGCTATCATACATCAATGATTACTATTTATAATTCTAGACTACCAAAGAATAGCACCCTATTAGGCTAGACCAAGCTACCAAGGAATATTCACCATATTGGATTAGACCAAGCTACCATGGGAAGACATACTATCATGCAAGTCCAAGCTATACAAGGAAGGATATTATTCCACTATCCTAGCTACCAATGAAATGGTTTGGCCTAACCCAAGTCATGCTACCATGCAAGCATTCTATGATACTCGTGCAAGCTACCCTTAGGAGAGTATGGTTCCTCAATCCTAGGCTACCATGAGGTATTATACTCATGCTACCATGCAAGCATTCTATGACGCTAGCGCAAGCTACCCTTAGGAGAGTATGGTTTCTCAATCCAAGGATATCATGAGAACTCCTAACTCAAGCTACCAAGCATGGTCTTATCTTACCAAGTTAAGTTATTCATGAAGGGATCTTATGTCACAACTTCAAGTTATTCTAGTCTAACAAGCTTTGATTCATTTTAGGTGGGCAAACCTTTCAACCTAGAATCATTCTATGTGAGAGAACTTTTCATCTCCTAGCATATTCATGTCTAAGTGTGTATATGAGAATATCATTTCAACAACACAACAACCTATCATGATCATAGACACTTCACTCTCAAAGTGTTCTTAAGCATATACAATTCAACATATTAGCTTTACTCTCAAAGCCCTAGAAATCAACATGCTTCACTACAAGCCTTACTCTCAAAGCTTTAATTCTTACAATCATCATACATATCTAGATTTCAAGGCATTCTAATCACATGATTCATTACTAAGTGATTCTAGTCATATAGCATCATAAAGGTTCAACTACAAGCTTTACTAGTCATGATCCATATTATATACTATAATTTAATTCAATTTATGTCTACATGATTCTATTCATTAACAATTACTATACAAGTCATCAATTCTAGAAGATCATCTCTAAATCCTCAACTTCCCCCTTCACAAGGCATAAACCCACATTACTACAATTCCATCAATTAACTAGGGTTAGCCATGGAAAACATGTAATATCATCATAATAACATGATTCACTACTAATTCTATCATAATCAATCAATGCCCACTCAATTGGGTCAACATACAACATAACCCAGAATATTGAAGAAACCCTAACTTGAATTGAGGAATTATAGGGGGCTCCATAGATGGAATAATCCATGGATGAATAATCTATCATACCTTGATTATAAAGCCTTACAAAATCTTGCAACAATGGAGGAATTTGACCTAGCTTGACCCTCTCTTCTTCTTATTCTTGAGTTTTCTAGAGAGAGAATTTTTTAAAGGAAAAACTTTAGGATCTTTGGGGGTTTTGGAATTAATGACTTAATTGGGGTGGTTAAAGGCTTAAAATAGTTTATATATGCATACTAAGACCACACAAAATGACCTCACTTAATAACCACCTAATTTGGAATTTACCTAAAAGCCTCTCACTAGGCAGCCTACTCCCAGGCACCACGGCAAGCTCACGAGCCGTGGTTCTTGAGCAGTGGCTTGGCCTCAGTGTCTTGGACTTCACAAATTGAAGGCACCTTCACGAGCCTTCCCACGAGTAATGGTCTTGACCACTAGTCCTGAAGTGGCTCGTGAAGGTGAGACACTTTGAGTCAGCTTCAAGGGAGCTACTGCCTTGCCTTCACGGACCACACCATGAGACATAATCCTCACAACTGGACATGGTGGTGGTCGTGTAGTTGAGGCAGTGTGTCCCAAGTTTGGGGCAGTCATGGCCCTTGGCTTAGGCCTTGCCCGTTGGCCTTGGCCCTTTCCCCTTTCCTTGGATCTTGTTGCCCTCACACTTACCCCTAGATGGTATACTAACTACGGGGTGTTACATTGCCATGTTTGCACATAAATATGTAAGAACTAAAAAGTCTCTCCTAACCAAAACCCATATCCCAGGGAATGCATTCTTATCCTCACACATATGCGATGCATGTGACACAACATCAATTGAGGTAAGTTAATAGGCTTTCGAGAGAGTAACAGTTCCATAAGTGTGATGTCTAAATAGTTAGCCTCAGTTTGTTTCTGCTTCTTGGGCAAAAGTATTTTGTGCACCACATCAACAAGAAGGTTGTGTAAGGGCAACATAACACCTTTATCAATACAATAGTAATCCTCTAGAGTAGGATCATTTGAAAACTAGCGAGATATTTCAAGGACACTTAGTTGACCATCAGAGGGGGACATTCTTTTTTCCCATAATGACACCAACTCTATAACACCCAAAAAAAAAATTGAACTAAGACTCGAACCATCCTTCGTTGTGAATAGTATTTTACCAAGGAATTTAAAATTTCTTAAGTATTAATGTCAGGTCACTAGATGTAGCACCTTGAGTTCCAAAAAGAACTAAATTGGAAATAGCAAAATCTGAAATTTTGCAAGTTATGCTTAAGTTATGAGTTTTGGATCAACTTCAAACGACCATAAATCTCAGTACAGGATATGTTAGGTGGGATAAATGATAGATAATGAAATATCTTTGAATTATCTTTCCAACGCCACCGAGTTTGCTAAATTTTGAGTTTGGATGAGTGAGATACGCCCTTTTGAAGTTGAGTTGTCCAGTTAAGGAAAGTTACCCGAAAATAGTAAGAGGTATTTTGGTCTTTTCCTTACCCAATCAGATTTAATTCGCTTTTAGTAATATTTTAGGGGTCTAATCCTATTAGTTTCAGTTTTATAATCCAAATATACGCCTAGGGTTTTAGTTGAGAGTTCAAGAAGAGAAAAGAAGAAAAAAGAGGAGAAAAGAGGAGAGGATCAAGCGTTCGTCGAGATTCTTGCGTTGTTGCAGATTTTCGCCATGGGTTTGATCCCTAAGAGGTATGTAAGCTTCCATTGTATTGGGTTAGTTCACCCACACGCCAATCATGTTATTTTCAGCGAAATTTCATTCTTGAAGTTAAAAGATTAGAGTTCTTGATAGGTGTTCTTGAAGTTCATTCTAAATCTTATTGTGTTGGAGTTTTGATGATTTCTTGAGATGAAATTTAGTAATTTGAGTGTTGTTTTGAGTAGATTAGAGTGTAATTATGTTAAGTAATCGAATCCAAGTGATTGGGGAAGAAACCGTTCGATTCTAGGCGAGTTAGGGTGAGAAAACGAGCAAAGAAAGTCGTCGAAGTTTTCTGGGTTGGGGCCTGGTGTGTCACGCCAGCCAGAGGGCCCCAACCACTTCTCTAAACTTTAGGGGCTGGCGCCCCGCGCCACTCAGAGCGCCAGGGTCGCCTGCCCCTACCCGTTGTTCATCGTTTCGTCCGTTTGAGTTCTTCAAAGGGTATCTTTACTCCCCTTTGATTCTAAACACTCTAAACTACTTCTAAACACCTAGAAATCATTCATAACATGAATCATAACCTTGAATTCATAATTCAAATTCAAGGTAGAGTTAAGAGTTAAGTTTTGAGAATTTTTTCAAACATTCTAAGAAAGTCCCTTGAGTCCTTTTGTGGAGTCTTCTACAACTTCTAGTAACTTGTTCAAGACTCGAGCAAGTGAGTATGAAAATGAGGAGAATGTATTCATGAGTCTACTTTGTCATCGTGAGATCTTTCATATCATGAGCCATAACTCTTGAATTCATAATTCACATTCATGAGAGAGTTAAGAGTAGAGTTCAAGGAAGACTTTGAGTTCAATTATGAATCCTTTGAGATCCATCATCGATTTGAGTTAAGCTTTGAGTAAGTAAGTATGAAAATGAGAAGAGTCATATACATGAGTTCTTTATTGATATTTTGACCCTTGAGTCGACTCGTTCATGCCCATAACTTCCGCATGAACTCCATCAATTGAGTACCTTTGAGAGGGGTAGTATCTTCAAGTTCTAAGCTTTGGGTATTGAGTTCCTAATCCCCTTTCAGATTATATTTCTAATCATGGGACTATTACATGTTACCTATGAAGTCATTGAGTTGAGTTGTTCATGCCTATAATTCTGCATGAACCCTATAAGTCGAACAGTCTTGAGATGAGAAGTATCTTTGAGTCCTTTAGTTGAGTAGTTCATGCTCATAATTCCACATGAACCCTCTGAATTGAGCATTCTTGAAATGAGTAGTATCATTGAAGTTCTTGAGTCCCAAGTATTGAGATCTATCTAAGGTTATTGAAAATCTTGCATTGAGTCGTTCACGTCCATAATTCGGCATGAACCATATTTTAAGAAGTCTTTTACAAACTTTTTAACTTTGTTTTAAGACTTAAGATTTGAGTTGAGTAAAGAGTAAGAGAGTAAAGTTCATTTTCTTTAAAATGATATATGGGAACTAAGTATTCCTAAGAGTAAATGTTTTCACATTTAAGATGAGAGGAAACTGATATTTCCAAAAGAGTTTTTGAGCAGTTTAAGTACCATCTCTTTTAAGAGAAAGATTTTTGAGTGATTATCTCAAATCAAAGAAAAAGTTATGTTTTTAAACATATGAGCTGAGTATTTTGGAAGTAGTATTGAGCACCGATATGGGGACGAGTTTGAGTTCAGATAACTAATGTCTCCATAAACCATGTAGTCATCATGGGTAGAAAGGATCATACTTTTTAGATGATTCCTTAGTGCTTTTTAGCATAGACTAGTGGATCCATTTGTTAAGGCGTCCTAAATGACAACTAAGTATAGGACAGTTCTGGTAACATGGGCAAGACGTTGTATCATCACTTAGGCTCATAGTGGTGGTTGTCGGTTAGAGAAACTCCCACAGAGTTATATTGTATTTTTATATACACATTGAGTATTATTGTATTTTTCAATACATTGAGTCTATTGAGTTGAGTATCCAGTGTTGAGTACCCAGAGTCGAGTATCATATCTTTGAGTTGAGTATCTAATCTTTGAGTTGAGTATCTATTCTTTGAGTTGAGTATCCTATTCTTAAGTTGAGTAAGTACGAGAAGAGGTAAGTATGTTTCCTGTTTATTAAGTTCAAGCTTATGTTTATGCTTTAGAATTCTTCTTACATGCTCGTACATTCCACGTACTAAGCCATTTGACCTACATCTTTTCATGATGCAAACACAGGTATTCAGGATCATCAACAGGAGCTTCGTTGATACATCCGAGAGTTCGAGCTAGCTATGGTAAGCCTCCTTGTTTCTGGAGGATTTCATTTACTTTTCAGTTTAGTCAGAATGTCGTGGGTCTTGTCCCGACTTCCATATTTATCAGTTAGAGGCTTCATAGATAGTCAGTATAGTTGAGAAGTATGTATTATTTATTTTATTAAATATTTTAAAGACTTAAGTTGCCTATTTTATGGCGAGTTGAATAATTTATTTTATTCAAAGTTTTCTTTTGAGTTAAAGCTTTCTATTTAATTTTCATGAATATTGATTCAGAATTTAAGCTTTGAATGCTTGAGTTAGTCTTCCGCTTGAAATCAGCCAAGATGAGGGTTCGCTTGGGGACCAACAATGGTTCTCGAGTGTCGACCACGTCTAGGGTGTAGGCTCAGATCGTGACAAACTTGGTATCAGAGCATGGAGTTCAAGTGTCCTAGGGTGTCTATGAAGTCGTGTCAATATAAATGAACTTCACTCTTACTCTTACTCAACTCAATGCTCAAGTCTTATCACAAGTTAAAGACAATTGTAAAAGACTTTTTGAAAAGACTCGAAGAACTCTCAAGACTTGACTCTTAGCTCTATCTTGAATTTGAATTTATAGATTCAAGGTTCTAATTCATGTTTAAGGATGATTTCTAGATGTTTAGAAGTCATATAGAGTAGATAGAATAGATAGGGAGTGTTAGTACACTTTAGAAGGACTCAGACGGGTTAAACGATAAAAAAAGGGAGGGAGCAAATTTCCCGAGCGCACAACTGGCACGGGGAGCCAGCCCCTAAAGTTCAGAGACCCCAAAATAGCGAACTACTAGAGTGCCGCCCCAGCCTCTCCGACGCATCAAGGGCGCACTGCGCCAGCCCCTCCCCAGGTGGTTTCGACGAATTTTCCAACTCATTTTCTGATCTTAACTAGACTAGATTCTATTCTTTTTCTCAATTTCTCCTTAGATTCGGACACTTAATACATGTACACAAGAATCTACTCAAATGACCCTAAAGATCGACACGATTTCCTTAAGAACTTATCAATTCCATCCTAACTCAAGAACGAAAACCAATTTCAAAAACACAATTCAAGAACATCAAACCATCAACTTTCTAGAACGAATTTTACGTTGAAATTAACATGATTGGCGCGTGGGTGAACAAACCCAACGCTATGTGAACTCACATACCTCTTTAGGGATCAACCCTTCGCGAAAGGACCTTCGATTCCGCAACAAATCTCCAAGAACGCCTTGACCTTTCTCCTTTTCTCCTCTTCTTGAACTATTCTCAAACCCTAAGAGTTAATTTTGATTTTTTAAACTGAACCAAATCAGTTTAGACCCCTAATTAATTAGTAACATCGAAATAACTTGATTGGGTAAGGAAAAGACCAAAATACCATTCTTAAATGCGGGTAGCTTTCCTTAACCGAACAACCCAACTTCAAACAGGCATATCTCTCTCACACGAGCTCAAAAATTAGCAAAATCAGTGGCATTGGAAAAAAGATTCCAAGACCTTTCATTTGATATCATATAGCTCACCTAACTCATCTTGTACTAAAAGTTATGCTCGCTTGAAGTTGACACAAAACTTATACTTAGCATAACTTGCCAAAATTTCTAAATTTACTCTTTCCAAAAATTATTCTTTCTAATTCTAGTTCTTTC